ACTATGGCCTATTTTTATTTTTTTTAGCAAGAACACGACATTGCAGTGGATGTAACCAGAAAATGGAGCATGACTATATATTGTAGTTTTTCAACAAAATTGAAGTCAATATTCTCCAGGAATGCTGTTGTGCTTCCTCTGTATATATGAAAGCATCGGCTTAGCATATGAAAGTTTGAGTGCTGTACGGATGCTTTCAAACTCTGCATCAATGAAACGATCAGATTGCTTCCGCTACCTATCACCTTTCATAGCTACATTGACGATGCAAGCTGTCATGATGATATTGTTGCCTGTCGATATACTATTTTCTCTTTTAATGCCGTTAACGTGAGTTTCCTACCCATTATTTTACTAATGGGTATGTTACTTGTGGGTATGTATCAGCGCAATCATTAATGTAACGACATTATTTTTGCCACACCCTTATTTGTATGTACATTTATAGAGCACAGATAGAGTTTTGTAGACTAAATACAAAGCTAGATAAAGCATATGAACAACTAGCCGGTAAAGATCCAGAAAGCGATGTGGAGTCCTAAGCCAATTTAGATTTTTTTGTTTGAGACAAGATTTGATTACGAACGGAAAACTTTCGTCAACCTTTTAGATGGAATTCCTCAGGCCAGACTATTAAATATATGGAGGTCCTTTTAAGGGGAAAGAGCCATGTCCTAGAATCGAAAAACGGCGGTCGACATCTGGCCTTTCATGGGCTGCACTTAGATGAATGCTAGTCCTGTCCTGCCAACCAAAAATTCCTTCCCTAGACTCTACAGCTGAATCAGAATATGATATGATGGTGTTTTCCAGAGATATCCTGGACTTTTGCGGGATCATCGGCAGATGCTTTCTGTATGTCCCATTCATAAGAAAATACATATCTGGGGAATGCAATTTGGGCAATATGTTTTCGTTTCAAAGGAACAGTTCACGTTAGAAATGGTTTCTGAGAGTTCTCCGAAGGATGAACCTGTAACCTACAAGGATACCCTAATAGAGGTCATCGAAACGGTTAAGATAGGGCGTAATAAGGGCCACCGTAATCGGCTTAGCGAACGTACACACCCAAGGTAGACGAGTTGTCAAAAGCTGTAAAGGCTGTAGAAGTTGCACCATTCGCACCGGGGCCAACACCCTGCACGCAGGCAGCGCATTGCAGCCAGCTCTATGCAATGGCGCGCGCATTAAAACAGCTCGTCCGATTACCCCTTCCATGCTGCTTTTTTCGTAGCATTCTCGTCCAACCCCTAATTTTCTTTCTTTTTTGAAGCCTCATATTGGGTTGTAACATAAGTTTGTGGAGTTTTTTCACAAAGATTTATTTGAACCAAAAAACAATAATTATAATAATAAATCAATCAATGATGTATCTTCCGTTACTGTTCACGACCTCCTCCCATCTCTCGACCAATTTGTTGATGGCGATTCGCCGAAAATCGGCCGTTGCGGTGTCGAAGAATTTGTTGAGCCGGCTTTTAAGGTCCCCTTCGCCATCGAAGGTAACTCCTCTCATTGGGTTTAACATAGAGCGGAAAAGGTGATAGTCGGCAGGTACAAGATCCGGAGAGTGCGGTGGATGCTGAAACAACCTCTCATTGAAGCTCTTGGAGTGCTATTTTGACGATTTGAGCAATATGGGGCCTGGTGTTGTCGTGGAGCAAGATGACTTGACCTCGTCTATAACGTCTTTTCAGCCGAATAGCCTCATTTACAGTGTTCAGCTGGGCAATGTAGACCTCCTTGTTGGCAGTGGCATTTCGTTCGAGCAGTTTCCCAGTGCAGCATGCCTACCCAGTCCCAAATGCAGATCATGACCTTTTTTGGGTGAAGAACTTGCTTGACACTCGGCTTCGGCGCCTTTCTATCCTATCCTAAAAACTTTTTAGAGGAGAAGAAGCTCCTTCGAATGAATGTATACACTTTGCTGAAAAACAAAACAAATCGTTATAAGATAACTCTAACGCAAAACTCTACGAAGTTATGTTACAACCCAATATTTCTCTATTTCTGCGCTGATTTTTGCGTATTCTTCACCACTTTTGCTTCATGCTGAACTTCCATCGCTCGTCTAAAACTTTATAGCCCAAAGTCATAGTGAACAGTACCCTTGAGTAACACTTCCCCAGAATCCGTTTCGTGATGGGCATCGCTTCGGAGAACTGCAAAATAATTACGACAAATATTTTATCAATTAGAACTCTGTGATTTCAACAGCGCGATGATTTACAGCCATCGATGTATGCCGTATCGCATCTATGCTCTTTTGGTGCATATTCCGTGCATATGTATTGCTTCTTGTTTCATTATAAGCGGCTCGATTATGATGGATGACGATGGTTGTTTACTTTCTTGTTTTCCTTTTTACTTTCTCTCTTGTTTTTTGTTGTTCCTAAACAACCCCTAGCCTTTGCAAAGTTCGTGTTATTCGAGAGGACAGGTGCTTTTCCAGAGGTGATTTGACAATTTAGATAAAAATTCTGTTCGTTCACCATTGCGTCTAGTTCCCTGTTAGGCGTCATCACTACTATTAATCATCTTCTAGCCATTTCTGCATTATTTCATACCAACTTACTTGAATCGATGAAAAGGATTGTGACCAACGAAGTAGTCAGGCAGTTAGGCTAATGAATTTTGTGGTTCCTCCTGCACATCCTGAAATTTTCCTTCACCTAAACTGGACCATCTGATTGTGGAAGTGGGAAATGAGGTACTTACTGATAGCTCAGATCATTCGACACTCCCCTTTTTGAGTGGAATTCAATAAGACCCTCCTGTGAGAGAAAGTTGTGGTCGGCTTCAGTTTCCAGTGGCTTTGTCATGTCTCTTTTCGACTTCGTGGAACGGCTGGCGTAGCGCGCACGTCGGTCTCACCGAGAAGGTACAGCAGGGTGTGGTGCGATTCACGCGCCAATATAATGAGGTCATCGGGCAAAAAGCGCTAAAACGTCATGCCTACCATCATAATGGAAGGAATAAGAACTTCTAAGTAGAATAAGTAAAGAAATTACCAACTATGCACGTTTACAGAAGGATTGCATCTTCTAGGATCAAAGAATTTGAAGTTATTCTTAAATTGAACGTTCGACAAGTAAATTGTTGGCCTGTGATGTGAATTCCTATTCTCGAAGGGGCTTCATTGCCATAGTAAAGAGATTTGCTCTAATTCATGGTGAAACCGTGGACTACTGCAAATTTATTTGGTCCACCCCAACAGAAAGGTACTGAAACGATGCTGCGTGCGCGAAGAGCTGTAATGGGGTCACGCGTGAATCGCACGCCCCCCGGTACAGCATGTTGCAAAGAACGAGAGGTCACCCACGTGGCTACTCTCAGCCACGGATTTGGGCCGCTTATGCCATTAGGCGACGATTGCATCATACACCTCTCTACACCGTCACCACTGCACAGACCTGGTCTTCTCTTTTTGTGCGCACTCGACGTCAACACCGCCGGTCGCAGCTCGAGAGAAATCCGAAGCTTCATTCTATTGCCATCTAATGTGGTGCAACTGCTGTAGTAGCCGACCTCACTTGAGGAACTCTTGGAGGAGTGGTTGACGGCCAAGGACGAACCTTCATTTCGCACAAGACTCGAACCCGCACTGTTATTATCTTTGACACTGTCGGAACCCCGCTTGTCCTTGCTCTATTGAAGATCTTGATCCATAGCTTACAAGCACTCACAGTAGAACGTGACGAGCCGTTCAGTCAATACTGACACTGATCCGGTGAGCTGCGATTTGGCTCGTTTGGATTGGAGCAAGTACGAGTTCGGGCCCGTCTAAAGTCAATATTTTGCATACGACACCTAAGACCATTCGGCATCCATATTTACATTGATTTTCGTGAACGCTCTTCTTTTTGCAGTTATACTGGTGTGCAATCCACCGCTAGCATTACCGAATCCCATATCGAAAATATGGAATCTTACCACAATGGGTACTAATGTTATGGTTATAATTGTTTATGCACTCATCGGCCTCTGGCTATTCAAGAAACGTGAGCTCACAGTTTTCAGAACGATTTCCAATCTGAATTGTGCAAAAGTTGCATCCATGTTCTCAAATCTTCTTTCGAGTCCGTCGAGGATGTTTCAATTCTCTGTCAGTCAAGTTCAAGGTTTACGACCTCAGTGATTTCAAGTGTTCCTTTCACCGACGATTTCAGAAAGAGAACTTACTTGCACTTGGAGGTACCATCACCTGTTAGGAGATGATAGAATTATCGGATTAATTTTCTTATTAGCCGGATTTATATCAGACCCCCCCCCCTTTCACTCGACTATTACTAACATGTTGCTCTTCACAAATTATCATAAGTGCAGTGGAAGGGGAGCTGATATATGACGGGGAATAATTCAAACTAAATATCATGACCGATTTCCGATGCTCAGTAAGGCATTAATGAACTGACCAAGACACTACAAAAGCAGGGTGGGTATGCAGCTATCGTCATTCAACGCGCTAGGCAAAGGACGATGATTTTCCCATATATATGTAAGTGCAGAAGAGAATCCGGAGCCAACTAATGGAGAAGCAAGTGTACTGGACACGTAGCGCAATTTTTTGATGACCGTTGAACTAGGCCGCTGACTGAATGGAGCCTTCGGGACACCGGAAAAACCGAATGTACACCAGATCTGCCGACGACGCGTAGTCAGCCTTCTCCACGAAGGGTCTCTCGGGCGAGGATATAGGAACGAACGATCAGGCTCGCGAAAGGGAGGAAAGAGGACGTTACTAATGCCCGCTTTAAGAAATGGAAGGTGAAGTTGGTGTGAGGTGAAGCGGGCTACACTAAAGCGCATTGTAACTCATAAGAGTAAGCGAGATAATCAAAATTTCAGCTTTCAGGGTATTACATGAAAAACCTAGGGTGGATTTCTACAAAAATAGAAGTTTATAGCAGAGGGAAATAGAAGAAAAGATACAGAAGCTCTGACTGAGTCGATGCGAATATTCGAGCTAATGATTATAGAGCTTTCAAAGTTTGCCTAGAAATCATAAGGGTAAAACCATGAAATATCGAGTGCCACTATTCTTCAGTTATTTCTCAACTCTAAAATTCCAGGAAGGAAAACATTCGCAGAAAATCAGCCAAATTACCATAAACGAATCGCGCGCTCTACGGCAGCTGTTGTTTTGATTTCCGTCATCTGTTGGTGAGTGAAGAAGCTCTTTGAACTACAACAACTCAATGGTAAATCTCTAAATACGCAGTTTAAGGTTCTTCGGCGCTGGCATTTCTCGTATCCCCTTCACAACCAATCCCGAAACTCGAGAACTAATTCATACTTACGCTGTAATACCACCTCTTATCATTATGTGCCAGAATTATTATGTTTACTTTCTCATGAGCTCGGAATATCGTCATGTGTTCAAAACGATGTTAGGCATGAAAAATACCCAAGTAGCATGGGTTTCACTTTCTAACAAGATCTAGAAAACAATAAGATAGAAGCAGTCATATATCCTTCGCACATGAAAGATGCTAGAATAAAATTACAAAAATAAATGTTGTACCAGTGCGAAATATAATAAAAGAATCGAAAAAAGTAGACGGACATTTGAACAAAGTTATCACAAATATAAGAAAAGAGCGCATAGGCTGCATCAAGAATCTTTCTTTTGGATGAGCTGATCTGCAAAAGTTATAACATTAAGAGCAAAGATCCTCTACAAGAAAGGGTCATTCTACGTGAGAACTTAAAAAAGAAACCTGCCCAATTTTCCTCCTGTATAGCTTTGAAT